CAATCAATGTTTAAATTTGGTTAGCAAATTGTGCTTAATCAACAGAATGATTTTCTATCATTGTTGATATTTCTCAAACATCCAAACGTTATGATACTAAGTTGAAGGGCCAGTAGTCCGACAGGCTTCATACCTAACGCGGGCAACTCATACGTCTACAACTTGTCCAACTATGACTACAACCCGTCCGCGTATTGGCCTCGCATAGGTATTACGCGTTTGTCGGGTCGCCTCTAAGGGTTGCGAAAAGCCAGAGTATTCGCTCGATGTAGACGCGCTTGTGGCGAGATGGCACACGAAGATTCACGCTCCAACTTAACGCCCGAGTCTGTTCGAGAACGATAAGGAGGTTCTTATATCAAAACCGCTTCCGGTGCCCGGAATATATACACGGAACACAGATATAGGAATACGTATGCGAGGTCCTTCTAGTTCACGTTGTCGTTGACGTTCATGCAGTTGCTAAACTCTTGAAACGGTAGACGTTTAGAAATGATGATGTGACTTTGAAGTAAACTACATGAAGACCAACGCTAACAACTTCAATAATATGTGCACAGTATTCAAAATTGTTTAAATAATGCTGAGAAGTGATAAAAAATTAAATTAAGGATCAAAAGGACAAAAAGCCCTCCCCGGCGGGGAATCGAACCCCGGTCGCCCGCGTGACAGGCGGGAATACTGGCCACTATAATAAGGAGGACGAAGTATGCAAAAACTCGGTGGAGGTGATAGGCAACAACAACTTCGACAGCGTCGCAAGAGACAGCAACCTATTGGATGAAATGAGACTAAGGCACAGATGCAATGTGAACTTAGCGATTTTCACAATAGGCTGCTTTGGAGAAGTCGTGCGCACTGAAGAACACCAGCACTTCAGAGAAACGCTGAAACAAATAGGCCTGACCGACAACAACATCAAGGCAATCATACGTAAGAGCGCCTACAGCGTATGCACGCAATCGGCATCAGTTCTCGCCCGACATCTAGAGAACCCATAAACACCAATAGAACAAAGCAAATAAAGACGCGTGTGCAATATTTACTTAATAACTGACGTAGTCCAATATGCTGTTTTGTTTTAATTATGTTGTTTTTGTTTTAATGACTAGCCACATGTTTATTGTAATGATATTATTTACTGTTATTTTTTTGACTGAAGATATTTTATGTATGTTTTTTTTTTTGTAAACTGGAGGAGCGGTCGTCGTTTCGACGCACCGTTCTATTTCTAAATAAATGAATATACTACCGAGGACTTGTACAGGTAATCATTTTTATCGCAGTCGGCGCTGAGGTGTATCGCTCAGGTAAAAATAGCATTAGATTGCTTAAGTTCATTAAAATTTCGAATCTTGAAAATTTTTAGTTTCTTATGTGTTTAATTACTCTATTACTCATTTCGAATTTACGTGATATTTTCAGCAATCAAAAGTTAATGATTTATCTACATTTCACTTTTACATATTTTATTGTAAAACTGCAAATACATGGATAAAATTCTTGTTTTTTTAGTTACAAAGCAAGGATTTTTTGATTATTTGAATAACCATAACTTTTATAAAGTCTATACCTCTAAAGCGATTAATTAATAAAGCAAATAAAATAAATGAACAATATGAAGTTTAAACATGTAGAATAAAATATTTCATCAATGTCGATATTCATGTTTGAAGCATGCACAAACGTGAGATTTTAACACGGCTATCTCAATTTATCTGGGGAGGACTTGTTAAAAACTTTAAGAGACATTTTCAACAAACAAAATTATTATTTTGTACTATAATATATACTACTACTATACTACTACTATATACTATACCTACTATAAATCACGTATTTTATTGTAAAACGTTTTTTTTTTCTTTTTTCAGTTACTAATTTGTTTGTATAACTTCTATAAGATTCTAATCTTATAAAGCAATTTAGAATTGAAGCAAAGAAATAAAATATGCGAAGAATCAATATGAATTTTTAAAAATGTAGAATAAAATAATACATCAATGTCGATATTCAAGTTTAAAACATACACAAACATGAATTCTTCTTAATACGGTTATCTCAATTTCTCTCCATGTGCTCTCACTGATATCAACAACTTCCACGATGTAAACAAACCAATATTTATTCCGAATATGTGCATCTTACCGCCATCTCCTTTCAAATTTGATAACTATCAATGACTTGCCAAGTAAAAGTTAATGCGCCTTAAATCCTGACTTAAAATAGTAATTTCTTCAAAAAGTCCTCCCCGGCGGGGAATCGAACCCCGATCACCCGCGTGACAGGCGGGAATACTGGCCGTTATACTACCGAGGACCTGTTATCCTGTAAAACTATTAAATTTTTCAATTTTAATTTTAAGATTGAGTTGTTTACACAAAAAAAGATTTATACTATTGTATTGTTATGTTCAATTTTTTAGCAGTTTATTACCAGAATTGAAAGCAAAAGGACTAAAAATTGTTAATTCCTCAAAAAGTCCTCCCCGGCGGGGAATCGAACCCCGATCGCCCGCGTGACAGGCGGGAATACTGGCCGTTATACTACCGAGGACTTGATTTATATTTAAATTGTTAAAATTGTGATGATTTTTTGTGTATTACGCAAATTATTTAACTATAACTGAGTAAAATTTGCAATATACACTTTATTCCCTCGGAATATAGTTGGTGACCAAAAGTTGCCTATATCCTTGTTTAAGGACCAATCTTCATACCAAAATTGTTAAATTAACACGACTTATTAATAACTTTAAGAGATACTTTTATCAATGAAAAATTTATGTCCTTATGTACATTTCACTTTCTTTGTTCATGAATAAAACTATACACCACGTATTTTATTATAAAATGCTCGACATCTAGAGAACTCATAAACACCAATAGAACAAAGCAAATAAAGGCGCGTGTGCAATATTTACTTCATAACTGACGTAGTCCAATATGCTGTTTTGTTTCAATTATGTTGTTTTTGTTTTAATGGCTAATTACATATTTTATTGTAATGATATATATTATTTATTGTTATTTTTTGACTGAAGATATTTTATGTATGTTTTTTGTAAACTGGAGGAGCGGTCGTCGTTTCGACCCACCGTTCTATTTCTAAATTAATGAATATACTACCGAGGACTTGTCATAACCTCAAATCTGTAAATTTCTCAAATCTTACATATACCACTATAACGTCTATTTTTAAGGGAAATCGTTACTTTATATCAATATAAATTATCTATCACAATTTAAATGAAGATAAATTGAAACCGAATTTATCTAGTTACTAACTTCCAACGAGTACATTAAACAGTCAAAGCTGATTTTACCTCCGTTCAATTTCACTCTTTCTTTTTCAGTTTGTTAAAAACACACACATTTTAACAATGTTTCTGGTTTAGACGTCTTTTCCTATACGCATACAAACTACAACGCGAAAATCCTGCAACAATTTCGTTTTCAAGAAAAATTCATTCCCCACAACTTGATGCCATTCAAGTAGTACGTAAATCGTGATTTACGACACGTTAGAACGTTCCCACAACGAGATGTAAAACTTTTCCTATTTCTATGTTGCGTACGTGTTTGATTTTTATAAATCTAACGCGACGCCTCGTCTCGCTTTGACTCTACAACCGCTTTGCAACTTTCCTAAACATTTAAATAAGTTAAAGTGGTTTTTTAACCATGAGAAATGTTTACTTTGGAAAATCTTTGATTTTATAAGTTTTATCGCTCAATTTTCCTGCCAAATTATTAATGTTACTGCTTTAGGTACATATGAATGCAACACGTTGACTTGTGTGTAATATTTATGCTTTGATGACTGCGGATTTTTTTCACGCGCGTTACTGAATGAACGTACACTTAAGAACCGCTTAAAACTTTCGCTCTACGAGTACGCTCAAGTTTAAGTTCGCTTGCCGCACTAATGTGTAAGATAACCCCATGGATGGGTCATAAAAAAACCGAAATCGTCTATAACTCAACGCTCGCGGAGCAGCGGTGCCCTCCCAGGCGGCAAAATGGCGTAATTAAAATATTCTTTAATAGTTTGCTCCGGTAGCCGAGGCAACAGTGCATCGAGGTACACCGCATACTTTTCCAGGAAGAAAAACAATATTAGCAGAATTTATTCTTGAGTGAACGCCTTTGTTATGTAGTCTAGACTAAAATTATGAGAACAAAAAAACAAGAAAAAACAAAAATAATTTTGCTCAACTTACGGTGCATGTCTCACACTTGTAATAAAGAAATAGTAACATTTTGATAAAACATTTTTATATTTATATGCATTATAAAGCGGCATTTTCTTGATGTATCGGTGTCGTGAGGCCGTCGCTTGTTTTACGATGGCAAAATATTTTTATTAAAGTCGCTGCGCTATAAATATAGAACGTTCTCGCGAACGCCTAAGTAGACAAACATCATGGTAAACGACGCTCGCGCGTAATGCGAGGAGCGAACGAAGGACGTTTTCCCGTGCGCCCGTGCGCTAGCATGCGGGCGTTTAAGAAACGCCGTTATCCTGACTGGCTGGCTCGCGCGCTGCGCAGCTCCGGCCATCCTGGCACATTTTATACGAAAATGCACGCATTAAATTCAACTCACGACCGTCATATACACAAATAGCGTTCAAGGACTTATGGCAACAACAACGAAACGCAAGATAAATGCAAATTGGAGGCCTAAAACAAATGCCTACTATACTGATGTGTAATATATTATTAGTCAACATTAGTTTTATTTTCAAGTGTTTTGTGTGTCTGTATTGCTATTCAAGAGAAACAGCTAAAAACATGGAACAGATAAAAAACTGTAAACAAACTTTATCTGTTTCTAGCAGTTTGAAGAAATTTTACTACTAAAAGTGAATTGTATCGCCATCTGTTAATAAATTATTGAACTAACAGCCAGCATGCTACCGAAACAAGCATATCTTGTTTTGCTTTGCGATATCCCCTGCGATTACTTCATTCGTTTCAATTTATATTTATTTATTGTTTCCTTAGAAACTGTTATCGATAAAACAATCTAATCAAACATCAATCACATTTAAAGTACATACAGTTTTTTGTTCTTCAATCCCTACACATTACAATATGGCAACTAACAACATGGAAGATCCAAAAATTCGAGAAGTGATCGATGAGTTTGAAAAACAACCAAGGAAATTAATTGATCCGTGCAATATAGACACAAATTCACGCAAATACTGGCAGCAAATATTTCATGCTATGGATGAATACAGTTCGATGGTCAGAAGTGCAAATTTAAATAATAAACATTACTAATATAATATAATTTCAGCCATACCACAAACGAGAGAGTATTTTAGAGAAAACACTAAATGATCCTTTGCTGATCTCGCGTCTAGCAAATATTTACGACATTCACCACCATGAAGATATCATAGATTTCAATCAAGTATCAAGTGACGATACCCAAATCAGACCGATAGAACCAAAACCCATTTTTCAAGAATATTGTGAAGATTATGCATGTACCTTTTCTGATATTAAGTTTGCGCTGTCTGATAAAACGCTACCTTTTGGTGCCGAACCGGAGAGTAGGATTATGTTGGAACGACAGCCCACCATAGACTACAGAAAGGAATTGACCAAATATAAAGATATGTATGCAATATTTTAAATAAATACATAAACAACAAATAAATCATTAATTTCTATGTTTATAGGTCCCAATATGAAGGTGAAAGCATGTACGCTGCGTTTTTGAAGAAATCGCCTGAGAAAGCAAGTCGATGGAGGCCTAAACCAGCTTTAACTCTTGATGGAATGTCATTAGCTGCAAAGTGTGATGCAATTACTAGAGAAGTACTTAATTAATTGTATTTAAATTGATTTATTTATTTAATTTTATTAATTGTATATAGATTGCTGAAGACTTTGTTGCATGGATGGAAAGTCTGGGCGGTGAAACCAGAAGTTCATTAGACGTTGATGGAATTGAAGGATTGTTCGAAATAGGTTTCAATTGTCATGCAGCGGATTCACTCAAGATTAATATGAAAGAATTAAACTCAGTCACTGAATACGTTGCTCATGCTAGGGGAACTCCTGAGGTATAGAAATATCAGTATGATACATATTACGACATCTAGTTTCTATTTTCCAACATGATAACATATTCTGTTAATTATTTGCAGCTTTCATTTGCCACGCAATTATACCGACAACTATATCGTGACAAAACGGCCGTGAAAACTAACTTGCATAACTTTGCGTTTGGAACGATGTTGCCTCCAGAAATGCGAGTGGGTAGCAACGTGGATTCTGATGTTTCCAAATGGTTGGAAAATAAACGAGTGCCTGAGAAGTTGGCTACGATGGCTGTCGTTTGGGAAGATATTGAATCATTAAAGTTAGTTTTTATTGTTTGAAATATTATATTCCGCTATACTACTATTTTACATAATTTTAGGTCAACGGAAGGATACTGCAACTTCTTACTACAGCACGAAGAAATTACTCCACCTTCGTATCTAGTGAACAAAGGGTTGCTAGATGTTCAGAAGAAAGCAGAGTCGCCAAATTTGTATCCAATTGGTTCAAATACAGTGACTCAAAGCAAGCTGAGTATTTATAGTGCCAGTAACATCAGTGCAATTTAATCATTGTTTTTAATAGCATTTATTCTTTTTGAAAGCTAAATTATAAAATAAATATAGTATACGTAACGCCCTCTTTTGCAATTGTGATAGGACTTGCGTTGGTGAAAGCTTGCAGCTTGCTGCAGAAATAAGCTTCCTGTGAAAACTTTTGCAGGATTATTGATTGAAGGACTCTTGGTTTAAACTGCCGCCATCTGTTGAACATCATTTGTAAGCTCTTAGGAAGGGTCCTAGAAATATCACGGTTGTTACCAGGTTTACCTAAGGATTAAATATAAAAAATCATGTTCTAGAAGAAATTATTATAAGATAGAATGTATTTCTATTAATATTTTATGTGCTATTAACTTAACCTGGTTTTATATTTAATAAGTTAACGTGAATAATAAATCTATTATTAACTGAATCCGATTATTTTTATTTTTATTACTTCCGATGAGAGTTTTATTTTATTTTCATATGATGACTACCACGCATATTAATTAATGTAGTGCCGTTATATTTATTCATAATAATAAAAGCTTGAAAAATTAAGCCCAACACAATGTTGCTTCAAAATACCGGCACGTGCACAGATGCACATACTTGACTTCAACGGCCGAAAATCCTTTTCACATTTTACAAAATTCCGACTTCCGTTTTCGGCCCCGCGCGCAGAATAGGCCCTCTATTCTTTTGCGTTGGCACACGCGCCAGCCCGAATAGATTCATTTCCGCATTTATTCATTGCGTTCTTTTCGGCTCGAAACAGGATTTATAGTCAAATTTCACTTGCATTCGTGGGCAATGATTACCACGGCGGGAGTTAAACACGTTGCGACGTGTGTAGGCCAAAAATCACACAGAAAAGAAAGGGAGCATCGCATGGAAATTAAAATGCATGTTTTTTGTGTGTTTCGTGTCGCGACACACGGCGATGATGATTAAGGTTCACTTCCAATGTCGAACGCGTGAACACGAACGTAATGTCAAAATGGAATAAAATTGAATGACCACCGGAAACATCCAATTATGTTGAATCGAGATGTAATTACCTAATGAGCATTTAACGTTTTTTTCAACGTGGAGAATGAGTTCGAATGTTTTGCTAAAATATGGAAATGCCAGAAATAAATAACAAAATAACAAAATCCTTCGTGAAATAACCTTGTATTGGAAATACAAAATCAAAATAAAAGAAAAAATGGTTATTAAATTAAAAATATATTTCAACACTATTAATTTATTGTTAATATTCCAAATAAATAAACAAATAATTAAATATTGAAATAAAAATTGAATTCATTGATTTAATTTAAAACTAATGACCCTTTCATATTGCCTCACTGAAAAATAGCACGAAAATAGCAAAATATGTGCCGATCCATTGTAATATTTAGTACAAATGCTCTCGAAATAATAGTAACAACAAATGTGAATCAAAGAATAGCACGAATGTATCACCTCCGTGCACACACGTTAAATATGTGGCTAGGCGAAATCGGTGGACCATGTCCCGTCGTATCGCATCGCATCATTCGCATCGCATTCATGACACATATGCATCGGAGAGAACATTCGAAACATTTAGAGCACACATGAGTTTATGCTGAACCAACAATGAGCCTACAGTAGGAATAACGCCTACGATCAGAGTTATTCCAATATTCGTCTGTGTCAAAACTACCTCTAACTTTACAAAAGCTAAACCAACATTTTTACAAATGTAAATTTAAAAACTGAGCAATTTTTTCTCGTTTAGTAAAATCATTTGCAATTGCGTGCGTTTATTTTGTAAATTTATCTCTTTTGAAAGATTTGGGTGTGCGAAAGGGGCTTAGCTAAAGGGTATTGTGCGGTTAAACGCAGGTTGTTTGCAGAATTCCGAATGTACACTGCTCAGTTCAATATTTAATGAAAACGATTCGCACCAATGACTTATTCAATTACATCTCGTCACCAAGAATCCATTATTTGAATTGTACCATTGTTTTCAGTATACACGTGGATTCTATACTATAAACTTGATTTATTTTCGTTGCCAAAGCTGATATTAGTATCTAATAAGATTAATAAGAAGCATTTAATGAAATAAAATAAAATGTGGATGTTAGTAGGTTATATATGGTACTTATGTGATTATCACAGAAGTTGTTGATTAGGTTCTTGTGTGTTTTGAACAGGTGGTGTTTGTGTGAGCAGATTACAAACATTCAAATGCACCAGTTCATTGCATTCGTATTTGAACTGGCCATTGGATGGATTCGTACCTTCAATGGCTTGTTCTTTCTCATACACATGCATTCACACTCACGCTAAACGAGTTAACTCAAATTGCATTCGTTTTGTGTTTCGATATACAAGTAAATCACTAAATTTTCAAACAAAGCATTAAACACATATAACACTAATTTAAATTATAATTTTTATAATATTTTGGATTTAAAATTATTTACATATTTATCTTTTCGTAATAATGATTTAATTTAAGTAAACATTTTATGAAGAATATTTTTCATGACCATGTATGATCATGGTCTCATCCGTGTGGTCATAGAAAGGACGTAAATGAGACCACTAATACACTGGTAGTGATCCGGACGAACGGACGAGATGGGTTAATTAAAATTCAACAAAACCAATGCGCTTTAGCAATAGGTCTTCCCGATAAGTTTTGTGCACTTTTTTTGTTTTCGATTGCGTCCTCTGCTGCACAGGCTTTGATTTTTATTCCAATTTATGACACGGCGGCAGCTTGGACGGAATTAATGGCACACGAGTATACAAAGACTACTTTCGAGCGATTTTCATCTTTTCATTTTTTACTATACACCTACAAGTATTCACCAACGCGTCTTATTTGTATGTATTGCAATTAAGAATATTATTCAATAATTAATATTCGGTGCACCACAATGAAAACATGAGATTCTTTTGTTGTTTTTGTTATCGTTTTTTTTTATGTTTCATTTAGGTTTGTGTGCCGAGGGAGTGGCAAGTATAGAGGGGTGTTCTTCTTCCTTGTGGTATTTATTTGTTTAGATATTTGTAGGGCTCTGTTTCGGCATTGTTGCGTAAGATGTAAGTGAATGAACAATGAGTTGGCATATCTACAGTTATGAAAATGATGTTCGTATTTGAGATGTGTTTTTGTCATAAAATATATTCATTTGTTAAGAGAGGAACAAGGAAGAAAATTGATGACAAAAAAGAAAGCTGTTGGTTGATAATAGCTATTGAAAATCATTCTGGTTGAAATTCTTAAAGAAATAATTTACACGTTAAAGAAAATAAAATCGAAATTTTTATCGAAAAATTTCTGGATTTTCTAAAATAAAAATAGCTAATACAAAAATCTTGTAAGCATGTATCTCTTGAACGTCGTACCCGATGAATTGTGAATTGGGAAATTGCGAATCCAATATTTCAACTACTAGCACTTTCCACCGCGCACTCTACAAGCTGACAAGCGTGAAAGTAATTTTCGCCGCCGTGAATCGCTCGCCCATCGATGAAGACTACCGCCGCAACTTCATCGCCCACCACGAGATCCTGACTTGTTGATCGCCACCAGCAAAGCGCTGGAAAATACGCCAAACACTGTGTCAAGAATTCGACAAAGAGCGACAGTATAATTACTTTTTCGTACCTAATACATCGAGCAACCAAAAAGGCAATAAAGTCTTTATTGCACTCTCTGGTGTCACACTTAGTAAGTGAGCACGTACAAAATAATTACAAAAGAATAAAATTCAATCAAACAAAATTGAATAAAAATTAAATACGAAAATGTGAACAATTTTTGTGAAAAGTTTCCTCTACAGGTGTCTACAAACATATTGGAATATTTATAAATCGAATCAATCACAATCGAACGAGTTAGGTTTGGTGAGTTGCGAAGGAAAATCAAACTCGCGTGGGCAAGAGCGATTCTAGGAAAGGAAAACTTCAGACGAACGAGTTCTTGGAGCGAAAGTATGTGTGCCGCCTGGATTATACAAATATTAGTTCAAACAGTTTTTCCAATAATAATCGACCGAGAAGAGCTGTGTTATGTACTTGTGTATACAACCAAAGAGAGCGCAGGTCCAATCTCTTATGCAAGCAACCGGGATGGAATAAGTAAGTCATGTTGAATTCACAAAACGATAAAAATATTCCATCTATGATGTTGGAACAAATTCACCAAAATTACTATCATAAAATAAAATAAAAGGAAATTTCAATTTTTTTCAAAAATATTTACACGCACGTGTGCGTTTAAGCAGATAAAACCCCCAGCGGCTCATCTAATCCAATTTCATCCCTTAGTCTTTAACTATTTAACCATCATCGCATCAGCTTAACTCTTTCGACCTCTTTCCCCTCTCCCTGACTAAACCTTCTCGCATAACATAACCTGCTCTAGTTAAACCGTTCGCGAATAGAGTTTGTGCGGACCCATGCGCAGCACAGCGATTAACGCTTTCTAATTTTCATGCACGCGCCCGGATCCACGTCTCTACACTCTATTAGCGTGTATTAATAATGACATGACGTAATGAATGCCAATATAAGCGTGTAAAATGAAGTAAAACGATGCAATACCGGAAAATGTGGCGACAACGCTACCGAATCGTTCAAGTGTGCACACGGCCCGTCGACATGTGGTGAGTCTACACGTGTGTGAATGTGTGTAGGCGTGCGGGGGGGACACATGGAGTGTGAAGGCGCCGGGCAGCCAGAGCCGTGGCTTTTATTCGAGCGAGTTGTAATGCGGTTTCGCGTGCGATTGATGATAATTTCGTTCGGTTTTGCTTTGATGCAAATCGAGCGAAACGATTTGACAAATTTTCCATGCGCGCGTCCACACACAAACGCGAGAGAAGGGTAGTGCAGGGCGGTGGAGCGCGAAGGTAAATGTGTGTCGGAATGTAAATGCGATGTGTTCATATATGCGCCCATATCGGGATTTCACACATTTGTCATTCATCGCTTTGACATATAGTGACGCGAATCCGATGAAATTGGAATGGGGGGATAATCGAGATGAACACGGCGGTGCAAAAACGCCTGTGAAACGGCGGATGTATGCACAAGCGATTGAA